GGTCGTTTATAGCTGCACCAAGTAACCTTCGGGCACTACTCTAAGTTGACAGGTGACCTTAATTGACGCCCGAGTATTTCAGCCAGGCCTGCAGCCTTGTAGACAGAGCCCAGATTGTGCGGTGTTGTATAACTGTCTTTTGTTCACGAACCTGGCTCAGTGCACTGCTGACCTCTTTTCAATAGGGGCCAGATTAGCGTGCAGCGGTGCTGTGTGGCTCATCGCTGCGGTGGTGAAGCGCTTTTGTCCCCGGTGGTAATCCGCTGGCTCTCAATGCCCCAAACCCCTTTTATGCGGTTTCAAAACAAGGCTGGATTATCACAACTTTTGAGAGTGAAAAATGTCAGTAATGTCCAGCAGCCTGGTCTTTTGTTCGGAGTATGGTCTTTTGTTACAGGGCCCTGCTTCCTTTGTCCAAGTTCGGAGACCCCGGCCACCCACATAAATCACACATCTCCGATTCCGGAGTCCCCGGCAGGAAGTGGTTAAAGAACAGAGTTTTTTGTGAATTTTTCTCTACAGTGTATATTATTTGTGTGTTTGTCCTTCCTCGGATTAACTCTCTTCTTGTTTGTCTAGGTGATGGTTGTCTGACTTTGCTTTGGGGACAAATTGCAGCTACATGTACCTGTTTCCACCTTTTCACTGGTTTGTCTTTGTTTTCTTCTCCTTAATTTTCCCCGTCTCGTTAACCGTTGCCTTTAAATAACTGTGCATAACCTGTTCACTTTGACCCGCGGCCTCTGGAAATTGAAAACCTGGCCATCTTTAACTACATTTATAATTTCTTCATTAAATGCAAATCATTGCTTCTGTCAAATTTATTGTGGCTCATAATTTCTCCTGTACATGTCCTGCTTTTCTGTGTCTTTGAAACTGCTTGTTATTGCCTTGCATACCTTTGGCTAATTCTTATAATGGCTTGCCAACATGATTGAAACGTGGCTGAAATGAACGTTGCCATGGCACCTTTCGGCTTCCCTCCGTGCTGATTTGAATTCCATATTTTCTACTTATAAAACCCAATTCACGCATTATCCGTGCAATGCTTTGAATGTGACTTTACTTCATGGACGACCTTTCCACATTATCACTTGTATTCTGATAATTCCGCTTTGACTTTGCGACAAATATCAACATTTGTCGTCGCCTCACAACATTGAAATGACATGAACATTTTTGCAACCACCATCCATCGTTCACCTTGTAACCACATAAAATACATAATATGTGAACTCCTTTGACCACTGCATTCGAATGACCTTTGCGGACCTTCCATTTGACCTCATCATGACCTCAACTTGTCCTAAACCCCAATATTATTATGCATAATCAATTTGCATTCACTCCTGCCCTGCAACAACCCTTGTGTAACTTTATGAAAACCTAACCGGTGTAATTATACATGCATGACCTGTGCAACATGCCCCCAAAATGCATGACCTCACGACCTCCCGGACACTACCTTGGCGCGACCTCCCCCCCCATGAATTCAACTCACAGATACTCATACGGGGACGATCATTCTCTCGATTCCTACCCGGACGACAGCAGCGGCAACTCGGGCCAGAAGGGCACCTACGATGTGGCCATCGTGAACGAGAACTACCTGGCAGATGACACGATGGCATCCACGGACTCCGCCTACGACCTGGGAGGCGGGAAGAGCCAGCCTGCCGCGGAGGAAGGACAGAAGAAAAAGAAGAGGAGGAAGAGGCCCAGAGGCTGGTCCGACGTCATCTATAAGAGGTGAGTGGTGCACTGGTTGCAGACCTGAAGTCCCTTGTGGTGTAGTTGAGTGCAGTCCATTATCACAAGTCATTCAGTTGAGTCAATTACAAGTCTGTGCAAGTCTGTGTAATCCATCACAAATCCATCATGAGTCAATCAGTTGAGTCCATCACAAGTACAAGTCTCTGCAATCCATACCACAAGTCCATCACAAGTCCATCATAAGTCAATCAGTTGAGTCCATCACAAGTACAAGTCTGTTCAAGTCTGTGCAATCCATATCACAAGTCTATCACAAGTCCATCATGAGTCCATCAGCTGAGTCCATCACAAGTACAAGTCTGTGCATCCATATCACAAGTCCATCATAAGTCAATCAGTTGAGTCCATCACAAGTACAAGTCTGTGCAAGTCTGTGCAATCCATTTGCAAATTTGTGACTGTATAGCACACGTCCGCAGTTCACATTGGCAAGAATATTGATATTTATTGAATTTTCGCCTCAAGGAGAATTTTTTATTGGACTTTTTTCTAAGCTAGTGTTTGATGATTGCAAAATGCTGAAACAGAGCAGTATTGAGAGTATGCCTAGACTCGTTTCCCATGTTTTTGTTTTTTCTTTCAGTCCAAGGAATCCAGGCGTGGTGTTGGTCAAGAAAGCAGTGATCGGGGATTCCGACTTCAGCCCACCGCCAGTAGCACTGGCCAACCGAACTCTGGATGAAGGTGGTTTCTCCCTGGATGCCTGATATCCATTTCCTTTGTACATTATCTTTGCAAAAGCAATTAATTATTACACTTCAAAGAAAACACGGCATTATACTTTCCTCTGTTCCTAGAACGGTCTCCAAAGGACACACAGTTTACTTTCAGGGACTAATTTTCGACGAAAGATTGATCATCGAGGACAGGAGTAATCACTGTCTGTCCTCTGTGGTGAAGCTGCCCAAGCCCTCTTTTTCATGCTTGTGTAACACGTATTACACATGACAAGTTTTTGTTTGAATTTGCGTAAATCCTCCGGAGTTTGTTCATGGCTTCTGCAAGCAAGGTGCCTTTTAAGTGTTCAGTGGTTGGCCCTGCCTTTCTGTGCATCACTGCCAAGGAAGAGCTTGGGCATGGAACCATAGTCTGCCAGTTTTCATTGTTTAGGACTCATTACAAACTTATCTTCTTTTGTTTCAGAAACACCAGGAGATAAATCTGATGCTGTGGCAAAAGATGAAGCTGCGACAAGCCCCCAAAATGGCAGGGAAGATGACCAGAAAGATGACAAAGATTCCCTGGATCTGACCCAGCAAGGTGGCAAGATTCCGACCATTTCGGCCGAATTTCCCATCTCCACGGACTTCCCGGTGCCCAGCAAAGAAGATGAGGACAAGGTGTTTCATGCTCATGACGCCGAGTTTCTGTCCTCAACGGATGACGACTTCCCCATGCATGACCCCGAGTTCCTGGCTGCCCATGCCTCGGCTGCAGCCGCTGCCCACTTTCCAGTCTTCCCCAACGCCGACGACAGCAGCCCCGCCAATCTGGCGGCCGAGCTGAACGTGGACAGCCGGCAGATGCGCAAGATGGCGCGCAAGACGGCACGTGAGCAGAAACGCCGGGAGAAGAAGGAGCAGAAAGAGCGGGAGAAGGAGGCGGGGTCAGGCCGCAGCCGGAGGCGGAAGCTCTCAGACCGCATCGCCGGGAAGATCAACCTGCGCAAGCGTGGCTCACTCAGCTTCGGTCAGGAGAGGGGCGGAGACGATGGGAACGGGGGAGGGGTGCTGGAGAGAGACTATCCCATGATGATAGAGAGGCAAAAGGAAAATGCAGTCATGTTTTGAGCAATGGACTGTGTTCCCAAATGTACTCTCCCTACACTTCATGGTTTCTATGCATTACACTTGATGCTCATTTGTGTCGTCTTTTATTGATTATTCCATCAAACAAAAGAGTAAACCTATTCACTTCATAAACTTCAACCTCACGGCACAGCTTCTTCATGTTACTTTTTTTAGTGCAGAAACGGGTTACTCACTGGCTCAATCGCCAATTGTCCAACCCTCACACAAGTTTATTTAGTCAATTTAAATAAAAAATATCTCCTTGCTTCAGATGTTAACCATGCCAAAATGGATCACAAATTTTAACAAGCTGAACGTGTTTATATTGGATGTTAGCGTGTGTCTTCTATGAAGAAGCTGAAATCATCTTGTCCAAGTGGATTGGAAAGTTGGAGAAAGGTAAAAGTAGGGCTACGGCATGCTGTGAGCAAAAACGGACATGAATGTACCCCCGGCCCATCAAATGTTAAGGTGCATTGTCCTTCGAAAGAATTTCCTTGAAAAGAGCAGATTATCTGAAGTCCTTTACAGTTGACCAATTCATGGAATGCATGTACATGTTGTGTTAACTGTCGCTTTGGAATCGGCCGCTGTGTGTGTTGCTGTTTGGCGTGCGCTGCTGCCAAAGTTTGCGTCAGTAGAGAGGCTGACAAATTTTAAGCAACTTTTCTGTGTGTTTGCAAATCAGTGTAAACTTAATTTGAGTTGTGAAAGAATCTTTGCTCCACTGTGAAGACAATGCTGTTTGTTTGCATGTTGTATATGGGTACTTCCAGAAATCAGGGGTCCATTTTTTTTTCGTGTGACCCTGTCACATCTGACATTTGATTTTGTAATTTTCCTATTTCCAAGAGTGTTGGATTAGTGCAGAGTGCCTGCCAAATAAATAGTAATAGTTTGAAATCAATTCCAGTGATATTTCCATGTCAAATAACAAAGGTCAGATGTAACAGGGACACAAAAATGTCACACTGTTGGACCCCTCATTTCTGGAATTACCCATGTAGAGTGTATCAGTTTCCCCCTTTCTCCAGTTTGAAGGCATTTTTACCTTCCAGCTTCAGTATTCAAGCATGTGTGTGCATCTGACATTGGCATGTCACAGGACAGGACAAGCTCCTTTGGATAATCTCTTTAGCAATGTGGAGTCTCTTAAAGGATGTCCAAACCAGATGTCTTGTGGCTGTGACTTTGGTGGTTGCCATTGGCACACCATGGAAAACAGCCGTAGCCATGACTGAAAAGCTCTCATCAGCTATGGACTAAATAATGACTGACCTCATCTCTCCTGTGTCGTTTTGACCGTCAGGACAACACTGTTATTATGAGAACGTTTGTTGCGAGCATCAATATTTCCAACAACACAGTCAGTTTTGTCTCGGGGGATTCAGTGCAGCGTGACCGAAAGATGATTCTGTCATAGCATAAGGGCCGGTTCAAACCGGGCGAAAACAAACACGAATGCGAATCTTTGGCATCTGATGAAATATTTGCGTTGCGGATTCATAAAAGTTAACACATTTCAACTTGAGCAAAACGTCACTGCAAAGTTTTGGTGACGTTGAATTTGTTTCACTTTCGCATTTGCCTGAAGTACATGTATGAGCCAGCCTCAATGCTACTCTAAGTGTTCAAATTTTGCAGATATATTTGAGGTGATACAGTGGAGGTTTTAAGCGTCCAAACCTTCAACATCAGTATTTTGTTCATGCACTCTAGGGGGTAAGGGGGAAAGCCCGAGGAGGGTCACAAAATATTTTTGCAGTGAACAAAGTTTGAAAGGATGAAAGGGCAGTTACAAATTACAAGAGGGAAAAGTTGTGTGTCAAGTCTTTGTGTTTTCTAATCTTATAGTTGCACTACACCAAATACGCGCCCATAGGAAACAGTGCAAAAACATTGGACCGAAACAGCGCCGCCTGTTAACTCTCGGGAAGACGTTGAGCTCCGTCAAGATTCAAGATTATGGCCAGAAGGTCACCTTTCGTTTCAATTTTATGGGGGTTAGCCATGAAATGTTTTTTAATTTGCCTTTCCCCGAAAGATACCCCCACAACAGCAGTAAAACTATGCGCTCAGCTCTAAATGTAGCCGCCCGCCTCTATGAAAATAGGCCCACAATTTGGGGCTTTTTGAGAAAGAAATACCCCAACTGGAAACTATCTATCCCGAACAGGAAACTATCCACCCTGAACTGGAAACTATCTACCCTGAACTGGAAACAGTTGTCACAGGCTTTAATCATCAGTAGAAAACGAAGACTTGGGACACTACTTTTTCCCTCCTGTTATTTGTAAAAAAAGTGCCCTCGTGGGTTCAACTACATTTTTTTACATACATGTATAGATAAATCATTCCTATCACTACTTAAATTCAATGTTTATTGTTATTTATTGTGTGTGACTTTCAACAATATTATTCCTATATCCATTGTGTATCACTTTTTAGCAAACAAAATGTGTATTCTTATCATGTACATGTGAATTGAGTGCCTTTCCTTTGAAGTAGTTACAAGTTTTGTTTCCTTAATTAAAAAATGCAAAGGACTTTCAGCTTGCCCGTGTATTTTTGTATTTAGCATGGTATTTGCATATTGTACTATTATTTGTGGCGCAAAATAAGAGAAAAAAACATTAATCCTACAGTACACAACAGAATGAAATATATTGGGTCTTGCGGTCCAAAGACAGAATAAACTTTCCTTTGTGCTGGTGTATTGTGCACCATTTATTTGTTCTGCGTTTGAGTCGTTCACATTTGTACAAAAATGTGACAAAAGGAGTACTTTCTGGATTAAATAACACTACGAAATAAATACCTCACACACTGGCACACGTTATGTCCAACTGATGAATGGTTTGTACACAGCAAGTTTAATAATGACATTACTATTATAAATATGGTGGACGTGAGTTTGGTTGTGGGGGTAGGACGGGCGGATCCAGAATTGGGCGAAAGAAAGTAGGGATCACAAAATTTACTAGCAGGGGCGTAGCGACCAGAGGGGTGTGGCCCCCAATAATTAATTCCAGTCGGCAAATGGAGCTCCGGTCGGTAAATGAATCCAGAATTGGTGCATAAACATTAAATGTACATGTAGTGTACCACGGATTTCCATTTTCCGCACTTTGTGAATTTTACGAGACACACAGTTGGTGAACAAGTCTGCAACTTGATTCTGGCACACCTTCCTTCCGAAGAGAATGCCTTCACTATGCCCCTGTTCACTGGCTTCAAAAAAACTGAAGATCTGGTCTGATTTGTTCAGGTTTGTTTTAAGTCACATCTCCTGCCATTCAGGCGTCTGTCCTTCGGTGGTTTTTTAAAACAGTTTCGAAAGTAACATCTTTAAGAAATACCATAAATTAATGCCAAATGTTGCCTTGAGTGACCAATTGGCTGTACGTGAACAATAGGACCCCTAGTACTTTGTATACGAAATCCATATTCCAACAATTTTTTCACATCAGTCACTTTTAGAAGTGTGAATATGTATTTCAGCAATACACTTTCTTGTGCATGTTTTCCCGTATTGTAACCATTTCAGTGATTCTGCCCATTTTGGGACGGCCTTCGGCATTTCTTTAATAATGATTCCATCTGCTTTCAGAAAGTAGTACCTTTGTTTTAAACAACGCTTTGGTTTCAAGAAAAGAGTACTGAAGACAATTTGTATTGGCTTTTGTGTTTGCTACTTGGTGCAAGTCCACATTTCATCGTAGGAAATTTGGACTGCATTTTAGGAGACTCTGGCTACCTTTTGTGAGAGTTCAATGCTTCCATGCAGCCCTCTACAGTGAATGGGAATAGTGTTCAAGTAACACTTTTTTGGGGACGAGGGTCGTTCTTATTTGGTATGTCATTGCCAAATTTGCCATTATGACAACTGCGGCCTCTAAGCCCCGAGTCTAGATCGAGCTATTAAATGTTTTAGAACGATACATTACTTCTGGCAAACATTTTAAAACAGTTGGGAAAATATCAAAGACCGTATCTAATCATCACTGGCGAATACGTTTTGTCCATGCCTGCCTCTTATGGGAGTAGGGTTTAAGATGACAGTAATTCGCACTGTCCGCCTGGAGCAGAAGCACCCCCTCATCGGTTAAAATATTTGAATACTTTTTGTCGTCAAGTACTCGCAAGTAAAGGTTTGAAACTCGTCCCTCATATTTAAAGATCGTGCACAACAAACCATGCGTAAACACGCAGACTACTTGCGTACAATGCATTTTTAAAGATACCATTAAAACTGTCAACATCTTCAGATAAATATAAAGATTAAAACAAGTTGCACTGTCGGTGTCATTTTGTTTTTCTCAACGGCAAACACAGAAATACTTTTGGAAACATTCAGAGAGAAAAAGTATTCACACTCAGCCTTCGGATGAAATATAAAGCCGTATATGTTTTTTCTTCAGAGTGATAAAGTTTCTTGTAAGATTCACAATATGTACAAGTCTCAGTATTAATACAGGAGCATTTGGTTTTTTGAGGATGGAATGTAAATAAACGGCTGTCATTTTGTCAAGAAAAGCAATCAAACAAACAGCCAATGACGAGACACGCTGGTTTGTTTTCTTGAGCTACGGGAGGTCTTAAATCCCCCCCTCAGGCATTTTCTCTGAGATAGTTGCTGTGCTTTCTTTTGTGCCAAGCCTTCAGGAGTTTACCCAATGATGTCTTAAAAATCACTCGGACACTAATTTTATGAACACTTTGAAGATCGGAATCACCCTCCAAACTCTACGTGGGCTGATGCATGTCAGGGCCTGAACTTTGCCCATAACAAAGCCCAATGTCTGATCGAATTTAAAATTTACAGCCAACTTTCCCCCCTCCCCAGCAAAATGTATTGGACTGGAAAGACTGAAGAGTCTTGAAAGTTACGGCTTGTGGTTTGAACAACCATCTGTACCAGAAGGAAGGTTATATTGGCTAGCGGCTGCAACCACTTTCCATAGAAGTGTGTGTAGCTCCTAGCCGCAGCCAGTGGATTCAAATGCAGCTTACACACATGTAACTTCTAGAATCAGGAGAGTTCTCTAAATGCTCCTGTATCATAGAGTCAGGGTGCCAGACCCTGAGAATGAGCCCCTAGAGAGGTCTGATTTTGTGACTCTGCACGCTGCGTATGGCAAGCATGTCTACTTGTGCGACCGTCTTCAGCTGGCATTTAAACAGCAAGAACTTTCAGTTTTTATCTCTTTTGGAAGTTTGTGCATTTTACCACATTTCAAAGAAGTGACGTTCTTTGCATTTTCAGAGCAAGCACACTGTAGCAACCTTTGGGTGGATTTCTGCACTTCCACAGCAGAATCCTGCAAATTTGGGCCACATTTAATATTCAGAACCTGCTCTTTCTGAGCAAAAGGCACATTTTTCAAGCCTCTTCTCCTCAATGCACGCCATGTCAGCTTCAACACACCAACAGGTGTCTCCAACATTTTCAACGACACAAAAACTGCTAAAATACAAACACACACGCGGGATACTGAGAATTAGCACCTGACAGAGAAGCTGTTCTTTCCTGTGTGCATCCTCCCAGTGGATCTAGCCATTATCTTGCTCCACCCAACCTACGATCTTCCCTTCCCAGCCGGGGAGAATGGCGTCGTCGTCCACAACCTGAAATGCAGAATGAAATTCCACGAATGAAACTAAAATTTCCTGAAGTGGGCAATGTTCATCAGGCTTGTAGAAAATAAAATCATTTCATGAAGCAGCATAAAAGTCAAAGTATTGATCCACATTTTGCAGACAGTTTTAGCCTCTTCTAGAAAAAAATGTTTTGTAGGTGAAATATCAAAGTGAATATATCAGATGTCAACAGTTTTCTGAGTTAAGATCAACTTCTGTTGCCCAGAAGATAATGCATGTAAGTTCTCTTTGATCCTCAGAAAATGAATGACTAAAAATCCGTAATTAAAAAGTAGTTTCAAATTGAACAGATTCTTTTATTTGGGTAGCTTTTCTTAAATGTCAAAAGAGTAAAAACTACATGGAATTTATGAAGAAACTAATCTGTAAAATCCACTATGCTAAAATTCAAACTTTAGGCTGAACTGGCGGAGGTATTCGGATCAGTTTTTAAAAACACACACAAATGGAAAATCTGGGTGACTTTCTAATTTTTATTTGGGGGGGGGGACACTTACCTCTTCCTTGATGGTGCCAAATTCCGGATCCAGCGCTTTGAAGTGATATCGGAAGTTGCCTTCCCTGTCAAATATCTGCTTGAAATCCCTCAGAGTGACCTCCCCCAGCCTTCACGGAGACACACAGAAAACAACAGAATCAGTAACGGTGAAAGTATCCCAATGACACGTGGTCGGCTTGGCCTTCTATTTCAGACACTCTCTGTCAACACCGCAACAGAGGGCGCAATTTATACGCAGAACCACTTGTATCAAAAAAGCAGAAAGCACACTGGTCAGCCCATGTGCTAAGCAGAAGTCAGCTGCTAGCCTAGTCCAGTGCAACATGCATCACATGCCCATGGGTATGGATTATCAAGGGAAATGTCGCCCTCCTCCAAGTGCCCCCCATCCAATTTTAAGCTAGGATATATATCATTTACCCCCCCCCCTTTTTGCTACTGAATGAAAACTGAAGCCTACATTTGATTTCACGCTCATAAGAGATCACAAATGTCTACAAACTTGAAATAATGTGCATGTGACTGACGGTCACAATATCCACACACGGCAAATGATGCACTAATCAGTTTCTTTTTGACGTTAATAAAAGTAATCTGGGAAATTAAAATGGGACTAGGGAGTTCGTACTTAATCTCTTTGTCCATGAAATGGAAAAAAATTGAAGTCAAAAACAAAATGTCTTCAACTGAAACAACAAAATCTTAAATTAAAAAATTTATTTACGAATAGAATAAATCTGGAAAAAGCTTTTGTTCACAAAAACTTGAGTAAAGCGGTTAGAAATGGCCTCAAATCGCTCCACAAAGCATCTACAATCCCTGAAGTTCTGGGCCCTTAAAGTGGGCCCCAGATCCCACTCCACTAGGCTTCGTGCTCAGCATTGACTTTGCCCAGACAACCTGTTCTATGGTCACAAACAGTGGCCGCGTGTCAAGCTTCCAGTCTGCTCACCTTTTAGGGATGGAGTTCATGAAGGGCGTTACTGTTCTCTCGGTAAAGTACAGGACCTTGGTGCAGGCAGAGGGGTTGCTACCAGAGGAGGAGACTGAAGAGGCACGGGGCTTGCCGTCTGAAAGGTGAGAAGAGAGAAACAGCAAGGATGACCTCACCGACAAATCTAACCAATGACAGTGAACCTGACTATTAAACTGAAACACATGGGGCAGGTTGGATCAGAGACCATAGTTAACTCGAGTATGACTATTAACTCTGATAGAAAGCTCGCTGATCAACGACGGTAGGACTAGTCTTGTCAATTATTCACAACCAGCCTACCGAAGTGGGTGGCATCATTGGTTGCCATAAACCATTTTTAATAGCACAGTGCAGAGAGGACCAGTTATAAGAGAAATGCCCCCAAAACAGTATGTCACTAGTAAACGGCCATTTTCACTGTTGGTTTTTTGCTATTTTGCCCTTCCTTCAGCCACCTTTTCTCCCCTTCGGCCTAATGACCTGACAACGGTTGACTAGGATTGTTCGCACTTCAATTTCCCTGTACATGGGCTAGGTGCGTCACGAACCAACCACTAGTGGTCCTTCATCAAACTTGCCCATGAATGTACAGAAGCAGTCAGGCTATCACAACTGTGAAACAGACAATAGGGCTGACCAATGGACAAATCCAATTTGACAGCAAGGGGACCCACAGGGAAACCCTGCCCGAGATAGACAATAAAATACCATGCACAAAAAGATAGAATGTCTAAGAAGGTCTCAGGGAATCAATTGGATATCTTACTGGTTCAAATGGACTAGGACAGGCTGCGGTCCAATTCCGAGCTATATGCAATCACACATATGAAGCCAAACCACGGTTCACAACCATGCACAATGCATGACATCTAGATGCTCAACCAACCGTAAAAACTTCACTTGTGAAATTAGGCTCCAATAGCAGTCGGGCTTTACTTTCCTTTAAAAAAAACCTCCAGAAAAAACCTCTAGATGCTCAACCAACCATAAAAACTTCGAGTGTGAAATTAGGCTCCAATAGCAGTCGGGCTTTATTTTCCTTAAAAACAAAAACCTCCCTGCCCACAATTCCGACCCGTGATTCGAACCCACACCCCATGCATCACAAATCATTATGCCGTAACCGCTCGACTAGTACAATTTACACAAATTGATGGTGTTTTTACTGTTGATATAACGATGAACAGCTGCACATTAGGCATGCGCAATACAAACACAACTATCGTAGTTTGGCTTCATACGTATGGTTGCATATATATCTCCCAATTCCTGCTCCAAACAGGAGAGAGAGTTGTATGAGTGTATTCCTAAGGGAATGCATACATGTATGCGCATGGCCAGTCTCAAACCAAGAACATATTTATTCCCATTCATAATTACCATTTTAGTCAGGAAGTCACGACAAGTCGATACACGGTAAATGTCCAGAGATTTGTTCAAGATTTTTACTTTCATTTTCAAAAAAACACCCCCATTCTTTTATGGTGACCACCCTTAACCACTTCATGCCTGGGCATTTTTCAATGTTGATGATGCTGGGCCGGCATGACTATCATTTTTTCTGTTTTCAAAATCCTTCATAAATTCATCATTTCATTTAACAGTCGTTTATAGCCGCACCAAGTAATCTTTAGGCACTACTCTAAGTTGACAGGTGACCTTCATTGACGCCTGAGTATTTCAGCAAAACCAGCAGCCTTGTAAACAGAGCCCAGATTGTGCGGTGTTGTATAATTGTCTTTTGTTCACGAACCTGGCTCAGTGCACTGCTGACCTCTTTTCAATAGGGGCCAGATTAGCGTGCAGCGGTGCTGTGTGGCTCATCGCTGCGGTGGTGGAGCGCCTTTGTCCCCGGTGGTAATCCGCTTGCTCTCAATGCCCCAAACCCCGGTATACGGTTTC